TCAACTACCTTAGGAGGTATCTTCCATTTTGATCTTGGGATTTCCAGCCCATACTCATGGCAGATGTTCCTGTACACTGTGACAGCTAGCTTGTTATGGCGTTCCATGTACGCAATTCCTGCCTGCATCTTACACCCTGCTGTTATGTGCTGTAATGTCTCAGGGGCATCCTTGCACAGTCTGCACCTGGGGCCCTGCCTGGTATGGTAGACCCCAGCCTCTATTGATCTTGTACTGAGTGCCTGTTCTTGTGCCGCCATGATTAGTGCTTCTGTGCTGTCCTTCAGTCCAGCCTTTTCCAGCCACTGGCAGGATTTCCTGATATCAGCCACTTCTTCTATTTGTGGTACATGCCGTTCAGCGTCTTGACCCTCCATGAAGGTTCATCATCTTCCTTTTCCTCACCCTCGGGTTTCTGCTGCCTGAGGTATTCACTAAGCCCTTCATCTTTAGAGGCCATCTTCCTGATGTACTCTTGGATCTTTGTCGTTTCATCCTGGACAGTGGTCTTGACACTCACAAGCATATCTAGGATCACTGTTGCTGTGGCGTACATCAGCTCATTGGTTTCGGTTATGACTTTAGTAGGGATGCTATGTAGTGTAGGGGTGGGAATCTCTGGGCACCTCACTATTCGATTACGATTCAGAGGGCTGTGATTCGATTATAAAACGATTATCGATGCATCTTGATGCATCACTTTTTCTATATATAATTACTAAGCATTTAATTTGCACATTAAAATACAAAAGAAACATCTCCTAATTAGCTTAAAAGGACTTGTTTGCATCCCTAATTTACTTTATTAACCTCAGCTCTATGGTCCATTTATTTAACATCAGACTCCTCTGAAAGCAGACATATAAAATTAATTATTAGGATATAGCCTACAGTATGTGTACACAGGACAGAGCTGTACACCAGTTTAGTCTAAGCTTGTACCTGATGTTCTCAACCGTTGACTAGTAGGTTAGTTAGTAATGATACAGCTGATAATTAATATTACTTAGTTACTAATTTAGCTAGATAAATATTTTAGCACATTTCACGGGACCCAAGGACGCTTTACACATCGTTACAAAACAACAAAAAGTCATTCAGGATTGAATGCCATGGTAAAGAGCTAGGTTTTTAGTAGATTTGTGAAAGTGTCCAGACAGGCTCTTGTCCAGGGGAGATGTTAGCTAGCGCTAGTTTAAAGATGAGTAAGTGAAGTAAGCCTTGCTGTATTTGCTAGATTATTGTTTATTTGTTTGAAAACACTGTCTATTATACTTTGAGCAACAGTATGAGTTTAACATTGCAGAGAGATTATATTTCCACCAGTGGGTATTATCCAGCCTGTAAAATCTGCAATGTGTGTCTATGAATAATATACTAGCATATCTCTGTTTCAGGCTAACAGTATTACAATATGTTTTAGGTAATATTATACGTATTCTAATTGCAATCCAAATAGTGCATGTTTGAGACCTTTGCAGTATGTATTGTAGTTGGGTTCACCCATTTTATGAATAATGAATTGTAATTAGAGCTCTAATTATGCTCTAAAATATTCACAAGTTTTTGCTTAATAGGTCCCCTAATACACTTGGTTGGGGTGAAAATTAAACAACAAATGACACATAAAACAGGAGGTGAGAAAGGGAAAAAAAAAAGTCCAAATGGTTCACAGAAGCAATAAAAGATCTCTGCCAATAATGACACACAAACATATCCAGTAGAGAGTTTGAATACACAGAGCTGTGATGAAGCAAACAATGAGACAACAGAAGATTAGACTTTTCAAATAATCCTTAAAACTATCAACTTGTGTAACTTCTGTATTATATTCACTGTTGGCTGTAAACAACTTGGCTATAAACCAGTGCTTCTGCATGGTGTTGTAATGCTGGAAATGAAGAGTGAACTGAATGTGAAACAAACTTGTTTATTTCAACACAACAGAAAGTACAGTCTGAGACTAAATGTTTTTGCATGGGAGTTTTTCTGCTCTACCATTAACTGTCAGCATCACTCAGAATATGTCTCCAAAGTTCATAGTGCATGTAAAGAAAGAATATCAGAGCAAAATCATAACCACTGAGCGTTTCTAAGGTAAAAGGTCTCTCTCAAGACAGACACACCAGCAGTCTGGCTTTTTAACATTGTCCTTTTTAGATATTCAGGGGCATGGCTGTATGGATGGCTGAAAGCCAGACTGAAATATCTACTGGATGGATTGCCATGAATTTGTATTCTCTTGGGGTGAATCTAGTGACTGTAGTGAACTCCTCTGTCAACATGAGGTTGATATGTCTGGGCCTGGTATGTTAAATTGTGAAATTTAAATTGTCAGTCATGTTGCCCCCAGGATTAAAGTATAAACTTTGGTGATCCCCTGACTTTTCATCTAGCACCATCATCAGGTCAAATTGATTTATGATCAAATACCTGCAAAACTAAGTACTTTCCCATTTAACAGCACCTGTAATAATTAGCAAATGTTGGCAAGCTAAAACATCAACATGTTATTGGCTGTGTCCAAAATCACCATACTATCTAGTGGGTTGTATGGAGAGGACTACATAGTGGGCTCACCCGCAAAATGAAAAAAAAACACTTTATCTCGGCACAGTTACTTACATAATTTCTGTGGGAAAGTCGGTCGGTGGACTGTTTTTTTCTGTCAGCGCAATGCATGATGGTATATACGGCTTGGTTAGTGACCGTCAGTTTGAGCTACTTCTCAAAATACATTCTGGGATACTTTGAGTCCACTTAATAGGGTATAATAATTCTCACTACACATTCGGACAGCGCTCCAAAATGGCAAGCTCTACTATTTAGTGAGTAGTGGGTGATTTCAGACTGTCATTGTCATTTTGAACATGTTGGCATGCTGATGTTTGCATTTAGCTCAAAGCACTGATGTGCCAGCCTTATAGAGCAGCTAGCATGGCTGTTCACACTGTTATATCATTGGGAGAAAAGAATAGTTCATTCAACATTTCTGCAGATTATATTTAAAATACACATTGTCAATGTTAAGAATTTCAGAGGAGGTGTTAAGTGATTCCATGCACCATAATCCTCTTTCAGCAGACTCACTATCATCTTCTGCTTGATTAAGGCATATAAATTCAGAACAGCTGGCACAGCAGTAGCAGCCTGTCCATAGAATCCGCATACACACCACTACATCTGGCATGATGGGCCCAATTACCACAACATAGCAGTTATGATATCAAAGATCAAAGCTGCCATCAATTTCTAAAGTGACATAGAAAGACGAATGATCCGAGGCAATTACCAGTTTGTTATAAGCCTCTGAGATTAGGAGGGAGAGGAGGCACAATGAAGTAGATTGCACCATCAGGTGTCAAGTGGATCTTTATGTCAATAAATATGGGCCTCCCTGGATGAATTATAGAGAATCTGTAGTTTTTGCTGTTCAGGGAATCCTAAAGGTTATCAGTAAACATTCATAACCCAGACAATGACTGTGTGTGAGAGTGGCGCACTGTAGAGGAGCTGAGACAGTGCTATCCATTTGACATTTCTGTCAGTACTGGTATTTGAACTGCTGGGTAGCTCTGACAAATGCCATGACTGTCACCGGCTCAATTTTAATTACACCTGACTGATTCTTTTGGGGACTCCGGGATGAACTTAATTAGCTAGCAAGCTCTTTGGCTAGTTCTGGCGTTGGTTGGTACAACTCGCACCACTTCTTCTTCTGTGGCTTTTCACTGGCATTTGATGGCCTCTGTCTCACACACTGTGAGAATTAACAAATGAGGGGAGAGCAAATGGGCCCAGGTGATGGCAGGAGTCTACTTTTCAATACCAACTTGGATGTTAATGTTTGGTCGCTGAATAAACGGAGATGCTTTTAAGTGCAACAGACTATAATGGAAATGGAAGGCGTTGACCATGGAGTACAACCTCAATATCACACTAAATGTCATACCTTGGAATTATAAAACGGCACTGTATGTAAATTAAGTAGAGTATTCCAGTAGGAAGTGCTTTTATAGTTGGATGGTGTCCTTCACTGGCCAGTTTGCACACATTAAGTGTTTTATTAGATATTAATAGACTAACAAAAGAAACCAGTGAAAATAAGAGTGCTTGGCAACAAAAACACACATAATGCCTACAGGTAAGCGAGAACAATTTTCACTCAAAAGAAAGTGTGTATAATATCAGGAAGACTTGGTTCGTTTTTATATTTTACCAGTTTCTTAAATTGGAACAAGTTTTCAGTAAAATGGAAACACAGAAGTACAGAACAGTCTTCAGGCAGTAATGTATCCGTGACACTCCAATTTCAGCTATAGCACACTGACAACTTTAGATAATACAGAGAGCAGAGTATCCCAGCAGTTCTCCCCTGCATATGACAAGGCCATAGCGATGATAAAGTGGTTGGTACATTTTAATGAACACAAAGCCATCCAAGTGGAAGGTGATTTTAATTGAAATCTCCTTCTGTTTAATCACTTAACATATCCACAGAGGGGAGAAAAAGTGAGTTACTATTGAGGAGATATCGGAGGTGAACATGTGTTCAGTGAACAAGTCATTCTGTTTCACTGACTAAACTAGACTCGTCCTTACCCTAGAATGAGTTGCTGTAGTTTGTTGCTATTCTTTGCACTCTTTACTTTTCTGACATGACACCATTTCCTAACGCCCTCCACCTCATCTTTATCCATTTTCCCTCAGCATCGTCACTGTAGACTAAAACAGCACAGATTGTTGCTGTTGCTAATTTTCACACTGTTCACACTAACCACTTAACAGAAATGTAAAAATTTGCAAAGCAACTCAAAAAAATATCTATTTTTAATTACAAATTTAATTTGCTGCAGCCTTTCAATATCATGTAAGTTTTTTTGTTCAGTTTTCACCAGCTACAAGTTTTTCTACATACAATTCAAGCCACCTGGCACTAAGAAACAGCAGATTTTGGTTCTACCACAAATGTCTGAATAACAAAACATGATCCAGTGTGATATTGTACCAAAAAACAATAATTTATTATCATTTCTTTTGCAAAGATCACTATTATCACACATTTTACCTGGCTACAAATGTGCCAACTACGCATTACTCGAAATTAGACCATTGACATTAACTCCAAACAAATACAGGGATTTTAAAATTTACAATATTTCAGTTAAAAATGAGGCATTTGGAATGAGGATACTGTACATGTAACTGAACTATAAAGTCTGTTGATAAATGGCAATCCATTCAGTTCACCAGTTTAGTTTTTCAATTATCTAATATGCTGTGTTCTGAGTCCTGCTCAGTGGCAATCATCCTAACACAAGTTAATGCGACCTCAAACATGATTCAGTAACAACAATACAATATCTATGAATTTTTCCAGTTACTAAAAACTCAAATCATACAATGTATGAGTAAGGCTGAATATCACATCTCTGTTGCACAGAGATATCCAGAGAAAGTTTGTTTGTGTATGAAATCAGATTGCCACACAAACGTAACATTGATTTTGTTTTTGCTGTTAAGGCTATGCTGAGTAAAGGTGTATGTAGAGAGTACAAATGATGTAAAAATACTGATATGTAAAAGCTATGAGCAGGTCCATCTGTTGTTGAATATGTAAGAAAAAACTCAAAACATTAAGCAAAAATAAAAGTGAATACAAAATATTTTTTACCCAAAAGCTGCAAACAATACAAACAAAACTGCAACACTGACTCTTGAGATGTTTGTGTTACTTTATACCAAAAGATCCATCCGTTTTAAAAGTATAATTTCTTTTCATTGACCTGTCAGTGTAGCAGCTTCCAACGGTGTTGTATTGTTTCCTTGTTTGTAAGAAAAGTGGCTCAAGTTTACAAATTACAGAATCAACACATGAAGAGTTTCGCTGTAACATGAGGTATTGAACTTTTAAAAGATGCTTTTATAAAATTGCTGATGATAAAAATAATAATAGCAAAAGTAATCTGTTGACCAGAAACCTTTGCTCATATAGACAATTTACAATGTTCAGTAATCTAAAACCTCAAGGATCCCACCACCCGACAAAAAACAATATGGCATTTTGAAGTGAAACACCAAGAGTTTTAAGGGATCTTTTCGCTTTCAGATCACTGGATTTCTATCTAATTCATTGCATTTTAGGGATTAAACACATTCTTGCTGTAGTTATGCTCAGTCTTTTATTAGGAGCAAGTTTTACAGTACTGTGGAATGTGTGATCCATGTCCCTTTTTTAAAGATGAAATTTGGAACTTAAAAAAACAAAAACGTTCATTAGATATTACAATTTTATGATGTCTGCATGGCTAACAATTTAACTTCAAGTCCACGTCTATGCACCAATAGTCTGAAACATAATTTAAACTACCTCTTGAGTTACTGATTTCAGCTTTAAAGGATTAGTAGATCTGCTGATTAAAAGGAACATTAAAAAAGTCAGTGAAAGACAGGAGACCGACAGATTTGTTGTGTGTTGCAACTGGCAAGTGTACATAATACACAAAAGGAAATACTTAACTTTTCTGAAGATGCTCATAAAACTATTTTGAGATATATGGTTACAACATAAATATGAAAATAGATTCGAAAAGATAAACATGTTTAGAGCAAAGGTATAAAATAATTGTATAGCCTTAATTTCATAGAAACTTTTTTTCTGCAGATTGATGTGAAAAACTAATGGAAAAACATGAAAAAATGGCATGACAATACTCATAAATTCTTTACAAAATGCTTTTTGGGTTACAAAGTGTGAAAAATATTCCTATTGTCCTCATAAAAACGCCACATTGAACGAGGCAAGTATATTATACCGCATGGGGTAGAATGTGTGGTTTTTTTGTGTTTTTTTTAATTTATTTTTTTATACAGTAGTGACTGATAAGAAGGCATTGTGCACCTTGGCTTCCTCAGGGGCCTTAGTACCATGAGTCATCAGCTCCTGGATGGTCATCCAGTTGTCCAGGATCTTCTTGTTGCGTTTCTTCATCATCTTCTTGTGACTGAGCTCTATAATGCTGACTTCCTTGCGACTCTCGCTGCTGCTCTGAGGGTTCTCCTTCAAGCTTTCCAGCCGGCTACGCTGCATGAACTCTCGTCTTTTCCTCTGTTCTTTTGCTCTGACCAGGTGCTGCTTCCTTTCCTCTTTACTCCAGTACCTCCCCATCTTCATTTCGCTCATTGCATCATCATCCGTGGTCATTCCCCCACTGCGCTCTTCTTTAATCTTTAGGGCTCTCTCCCTCAGAATCTTGTCTCTCACAGGCCTCTTGGTGATGTAGCGTGTGCCGTCGCTGCGGATTTTTACCTTCCACTCCATCTTGGGCTCAATAATGGGCCTCTGAGGCTCTTTGCAGACACTGAGGAGGCTGAGCTGGCTCTGAGCATACTCTACAGCTGAGCGCTGCTGGATCAGTTGCATGTAGCTCTGGTAGTGGCGGGCATGAGCTGGGATGTTGACCTGCCTCTGCTGGGAACTGAGGGACGGAGAGAAGTAAGGAATCTTGGAAGCACGTGGCTTTAATTTCCCGCCACTCTCCTCCTCAGCCCGAGGTGTCTGGTTCGACTCAGAAGGATTGCTGTGGTCAGGGCTGCTACTTTTGCCTGGGACTGGAGCACGGCAGGCTGGGATGGGGCTTGGGCTAAGAGAATGGCCAGTGGGAAGGCCACTGCAAAGGTTCCTCTGGTTGGTGAGACTAACCATCCTCTGGAGTGAGTGCTCCGGAGAGCGGTCCATTGCCAGAGGAGTGCTCCGTGAACTCTCCGCTGTGTTATAGGCACTGGAGCTGTCCTTATCCGATTTCTCCAGCCTCTCATTAATATCTGCCAGCTTACCCTTTGTGGGCTGACTCCGATGGAGGCTTTGGTTTTTGGTTGAGGGTGCAGAGTTGCCAGTAGAGGGAGACTGCTGGCCCTTACGAAGGTTATGAGCTTGCATGATGTTCTGACATTCAAGCTCGATGCTGCGCAGCTCCTCATTGAGCATACGTAGCTCATGCTGTACGCCGCCCTGCTCCCCCATGCTGCACTCAATAGTGCTGCGGCGGCTGTAGAACAAGTCGTACTCGCCGCTGTTACGTATCTGACACTTCAGCTCCAAGAGCTGCTGGAAACGATCACCCTCAGTTTCGTCGTCATCCTCATCCTCTTTGTCCTCCAGCCGCGGGGAGCTGGCGGTGCGGTGTGTGTCCCGATTGTCTCTCAGGCACTGGGATAGACGTCTCTGGATGTGTGCCAGGACATTATGCTCCGAGCTATCCATTCTGTCTTTTATACTCCGTACACTGTCCTTATGATGAGGGAGTGTGGAGCAGGTGGGCTTGTCGTCTTCTGCTCTCTGAAATGAATAAGATGAACAAGCTCAGCCTGAAATACACGTTTATAGATGGATGGCACTTAAGCCACATGCAAAATTGTAATGCACTTGTTTGTTTTTTTTATTGGCTATTTTCTGTCATTTACTGGAAACTTGTAATGTGTGATCCTGTGTGTAAGTGTTTTCATCTTACAACATCCTTAAATACTAACATCTTAAGTGAATAAAAATATTTACACGTTATACATCGTGTATATATGGAAAAGTACTCTGGTGTTTTGGTATAGTTTTCTGTTTTACCTTTTTTATGGATTGAGGACAGAAAATAACAAGTCACCAGAACTACAGCATTTACTGGTTCAAGAAGTGCAACCCTATTCTGCATTCTCCTGAAGGATTACATATACTGTTGTGCGGTGTTAACTCTGTTATTCAGCTCTGTTACTTCAGGGATTGTTTTCTCTCTGCCATGTCTTTGAAGTTCCATTTATATGGATTTTTGGAGCATGCTATCCTCCCAACAAAACAGAATATTAAATTATGATTCCGAATGTTTGGAATTGAAATAGTTCAACAGTCCCCTTGCATAAATATTCATAATCATTATTTTATATTCATATTTCAAAAGAGCAAAGCTTGTTTTCATCGTTTCAAGAAAGTCTGTGAAGAGTTTGATTCAATCTCTGCTACTGGCTAGATCTGGTTAATATTGACTGTGAATAATGTCCTAATACAGTCAAAGCAATAATTGGTCAGTGTGATGATATGATGTTTAGAACACATTGGGTACTACAGTCTGTCCATCAGTGGGATGGTTAACTTAAATCTATTGCTTTTTGAGTTTTTAGGGACTTTATTCTTATTGAACAGAGCAAATAAAAAAACAGGCTTTCCAGAGGTTCTTAAACCCAGATAACAAAGCTTTTGTCATTGACTTGCTAATCTGGTTACACAAAGTATATCTTTTGCTGCTGTCTGACCTGTTCATTCTCCTGCTCCTCCTGTAAGGCAGCCAATTCCATCTCCTCTCTCTGCTGCTCCTCCAACATTTCCATCTTCAGCTGCTCCAGGAACTCACTGTGCTCATCATCCAGCCAGGCCTCCTCCAGCTAAGGGTGAATGAAGAAGGGAAGCATATGGCGAGAGAGAGAGAGAAAGGGGCAAGTGTTATTTGTCAAAGCTTAAAGCTTGTGGCGACACAGTGTCTAAAAACAAATACTTGGGTGTTCCAAATGGGTGCCCAAATGGGATTTTCTGGGAAGACAAAAAAATCACCAGGCATGGTTTTGAAATAAGAAACTGCAAGCATTAATATGGTGTGTTGTTTGACTTGTATGCAGTTTTCTATTTCTTACCCAACAAAACGTCTCCTCTTTTAAACATGCATTGTAAATCTTAAAATACAGCCAGTACAATTTTTAATGGACATAAGAATGCCACCTTTGACACATTTGCTCCACACCATCCATCATCTGTTTGTCTGCTCGATGTGAACCAAATGGGATCCATATCTGAAGACTTAAGATTTACTACTGAGAGACTCATTTAATTACAAAGAGTCTACTATTGCTCCTGGCTCATCTGCACTGCGGTAGTGTCCTTCCGCTTATTCGCCATTGGCCTTGGGCCTGAACTCACTCCACATTAGCATGCCATTAGCTTTTATGGCTTACTGTTGGAAGTCAATTACAGTGGCGCTACGTAAAAATAAAACATGATGAGGTGTCTCAGTGGTGGCTTCCACTAGGAGTGTTTGTGGTGGAGGGGAGGTGAGAATGGCTACCCCAGACTGCTAAGGTTTACTCTGAGGAAATATACTGTATATAAGAGACCTTCAGGGCTTTAAAAAGGGCTTACTTCACCCATGTTAGGCTTATGGTAGGTGTTTCAGTTAGTGGCTGAAAGATCGCATGTTAAGTGTTTGGTCATTTCTAACCTGCATCTCAGGTCTGGCAACCAGCAGCACGATGTTCCTACACTTGTCACTGGAGAGCGCAGCCATAGCTTCCTCTCTGTCTTGTACATCTTGGCCATTAATCTGAAGATGACATACAAACATGATTACTGTGGTAGTTAAACCAAACGCAAGCAAGCAAACATGTATTTCATATACAAATACAAACATTTGAACACAGGCACATGCATACATACACTGAGGCCAGCTTAATCCTCTTCATACAAAAGCACATAAGAAAAACAAAGTAGCACAATAAAAGTGGCACTGCACAATAATGCCTTCTTTCCCGGGGAAACTGTAAACACTCTGTGCTGCTCCCTAATATGAAGCAGGACCCAGCAGTGATTATGAATGGGACAGTGGCCGTGGGCCGACGGGGCTGTTGTGTTCACCAAAGTATCCGGCAGCGTACATACATCTAGCTGTACAATTAACTGGCCACTGACAGGGGGCGTCCATCTTTTTGCAGGCAGAGTAATGGCCCTGTCACTGGTGGATAATAGTGCCAGAGTACTGGTCTGCTTCACAAACACACGCATACACCCTCTCCAGGCTTAAAATCAGTCACTCAACACATGGTAGACACCAGCAGACAATTAGACCAACCGTGCTTATGTATCCATAAGTATTTACTTCTCCCTTCACTTTATTTCTCATTTCCCCTCTCATAATGTACTACTTATTAAAAGACATTTTCTACTTAGAATACTTATGTCTACTTCTCAATTCGTAGACCTTCACTTCATCTGCCATTCACACTGTAACTCCCATTCACTGTCATTGTTAAAATAGTTCACATTACTTATTTGTGGTTCACTTGTAAACTTAAAAATGCAATAATGAATCCATCTATCCGAGCCTCTTTTTGCTTGTTGTTTTGGTTTTCTGAGCCTGCAAACTTTGCTCTATTTAGTGTAGAAAGAAAAGTTTGACTTTTTGAATTTAATAAGGTGATAATGTTGTTTCCCGCTTGTTTTGCTGCCCCCATGTGGCCAAAATCCCATTAATGCAGCTTTAACATTAAAATTAGAGGCTCTGACTAACCTACACAATATCCTTAACCACAGAGGCAACGCTATCCACCCTCAGCCCTTACAACTGCCTCTTCTTGTCGGTAGCAGAATTTCTCTGAATCGCAAGCCTGAAGATGAACCCAGGGGCTAATAACAGTCATAGCCTCTCAGCCATCCCACAGGAGACAGTGAGCTGCAGCACAGCACCATCCTGAACCAGAACTCTTAAAAAACCCTGCTGGTGCTGAGTCGGTAACTAAAACAGCCAGGGGGGCATTTCTCCCCCTCTAACAGTCACAGAAGGGGCGAGTTCCCCCTTTAATGTGCTGCCATTAAAAATGAATGGGCTCTCGTGCTGGGAGACAGTGGCTGAGTGTGACAAAATAAAAGCACGTTTTTATGTTTATGTTGAGCCTAATGTGAGTTTGTGCAGAGGGGGCCAGTGAGAGAGTGTGTCTTACTGTACCTGCAAAATTCGATCCCCCTCTCTGATGCGTCCGTCTCTGGCTGCAACGCTGTTTGGACTGATCTGTGAAAGTAGAGGGAACAAAAAATGCCTCTAAAACACTTTCAATCTTAAGTTAAGAGTGCCTGAAAATGTTGTAAGTCATTATGAAGACATCATCCAGCTAGACATGTCTAGACAGTTATCAAAAATGTGAGCAACACAGCTACTGCCATGGGAAAACCTTAGATGTTAAAGGGGAGCTATAATGCTTCCATTATTTTCTTACAGACACACACACAAATATATAGTTACGATGTCAGAGGTTCATATTAAATGTAGCCAGAGTTTTACAAAATAAATTAAACATATGTCAAATTAATCCCTATGAGGGACGTCCCTGTCCACACGCTCCGTCTGTTGAAGTTAGGTGTGGTTGTGAAAGTTAGTTTCTTGATGGACAGATGGGTTTACTTGTTGCTAAAGTAACCGCTAACTATTAATAACTGTAGCTGCTGTTAGCTAGTTAGTTCAGTTAGCTGTGCAGCTAGCAGTCCTATTAGCTAACGGCAGCTACATTTAGCAGCAGTTAGCGATTACTTTAAATCTGTCCATCTAGAAATTCCATAAATCAGTTGAGGCAGGGCAGCCGGAAGACATCAGATGGAAAACCAGAAAATATTTTCTCCATATGACATCATCCAATTCCACCAAAATCAATGAATAAACTTGAATAAAGTTGTGTGTTTTTGTACAGTAATCTTTGAGACTCAGCCCCCAGAAACACTTGGTTTTTCCAACCCAATTCTTGGTCTTGTAAACAGTGAATTTATCAAGTTCAGTGCCCCCATATCGCTATTTTCCAAGCTAAGTTACTGTAGCTGTCATATGGCGTCAAGTACATCGGAAAGAGGATGAGGCGATGTGGTTGGTGCTAATCGCTAAAAGTCAACGCTGTGCCATAGAATGGACACTTGAAGCGACCGCTAGAGCTGCTGGGAGCATCTTACACTGAGTTTCACAAAGGATCTTCAGAAACCTATTTGTGATATCAAGGACACCAGCTTCATGTTTTATACAATCTATGGTACTGCCCCTCAGCAGGTTTCTGGAAGTTGGCCAAGCAGAAGAAAGTGGGATTTTAGGCTGAATGGCTTGTTTCGAACAGAGGATGAAATGAGAGGTTGCATAAAGGGCCATTTTAAGATGAATAAGGATTTTTCTTTAAAACTTTAATAATGAAAAGCTACTCTAGTGGAGTCCCAGAATAAAAATATAGAGCTGAAACCAGCTAAGAGGAGGACACTTTTGTTTCCAGTGAGATATTATTGAAATTATATAGTGACTTTAACAGTTGCTGCTCAAGAAACAAAATTTAGTTATAATCAAATATAAAGTTCTAATCCATCAATATGTATGAGTATCAATAAGAGTGTATCAATAAAATCTTAACAATACCCACCCCCTACTCCTAAGAAAATGGCAGTTTTCAAAGTCCCCAACAAACTCAGTTATCACTGCCTCAGTTGTTATATTCTGGCCGGTTTATATAGCACAAGCCCCTGCATACAGCATTTACAGCCTGTAACTCAACCTCAATGCATGATGCACCTGCCCCTCCTGTAACTAATGCCAGTGAACAAGGGGGCAGGACACTTTCATTGGCCAATCAATCGGTGTCTGGGGCCATTTGTTTCACTCTTCTATCAGGTAGGATCTCTGGAGATGGTGAGGCGCTGTGGAACTCCATCTTCATGATAGTCCACCTCTTCACAGAGCAGTACTCGGTAAACTGGGAGGGAAGTCACTAGACAGAAATGGGGGTACGACTGGAGAGAACGGAGCAAATTGAAGGTAATCTTTCTGCAGTTATGGGGAGAGCACCCCAACCCTGAATAATCTACAACAGAAAAAAAACAATTTTATATTAGTAATCTATTAACTGTTGATATTGTGAGTGACTAAATGCAGTTTTGCCACACTGCAAAAAGGTTTGACTCTTAGCTTTGGTCAGTTTTGTGTGGAGTTTGCTTTTCTCACTGTTTGAACAGTGGGAACAAAATTGATCTGGGAATCAAAGATGTAGGAGGTGGATTGAAAACTCTAAATTGCCACTTAAAGGTCCAGTGTATAATATTTCTCAGTGTTTCCCAAAGGATTTTGTGAGACTACGGTGGGTGTACATTGACTCTCTAGGGGGGTCCGAGCAGGCAAGCCCCCCCGAAAGAAATATTTGCATTTATTTTGTGCACTTTAAAAGCATAATAGAAGATAGATCTATGACGGACTTTGCGCTCTTGTTAACTTTGCGCTGCATTCACCAAGTCCAATGATGCAATTTGATAATTACATTGTATGTTGTGCTTGTAATTTACAATTAAGATTTAATAGCCTCTCTTCAGGTAAGACTGTCATACTGTAACACTTTGTAAAGTGAGAAAATGACGCTAACCCTGCCTGTCAGCTCACTCTGCTCCTTTTAACTGCATTTATCATAAATGCTCTAATACATGTGCACTCCAAATTTAGCAGCTAGCTTGATCGCATTCTCACAAACGAGTGACAGTGGAAACACTCAATGCTGTTCAAACCCTTATTTAACATTACAGTAATTACCTCAAAAGAAAAGTGGTTGTCTCGAGTCGGATGCCAAAGTGTGTTAGTGAGTTTACAGCAGCGGGGAGCAACAGCGCAAAACACAACGTTAGCTGGCTTTAATGTTAATATATTTTTGGTTCATTTTGAAACTATGGTGGAACAAAATAGTAGTTGCCATAGTCTTGTTAATTAATCAGAAACGGTATCTATTGACATAATGAACTGTTATGTTTTTATTACCTTAGAATGAGCCATTTCTATCTCCATAACCATGGGTCCACCTTACATGACGTCGCGATGTTGCGCCGCAGTATTTCGTCACTATGTTCTTGTAGAATTCTGTGTCGACGCGCATCCCTATGTTGAATACATGCGTTCGAAGAAGTAATAATATACAGCAAGGGTCAGCTATTAAGTTTTGCATCAGAGCAATTTTTATCCATTAGATGGTAAGTGAGAACATAAGACATAATATTTGAGCTAAATGTTACGGTATTTGGTTAGCTCAGTCGGTAAAGCGAAAGACTCGTGTAGAAGATTGCGTGTTCGATCCCACGTCGCGAGAATTATTCAACAAATTGATTATGAAGGGACTCTTTCTGCGGCGCGGTGGTGCAGTCACCTCGCAGCAAGAAGGTCGTGGGTTCAAACCCCGGTTGCCCCGACCTTTCTGGTTGGAGTTTGCATGTTCTCCCCTTGTCCGTGTGGGTTCTCTCCGGGTGCTCCAGCTTCCTCTCACCATCCAAAGACATGCAGGTTAATTGGTGTCTCCAAAAAAGTTGTCCTTAGTTGGGGATGTGAGTATGAGGAGTCGTTTGTCTATGTGTGGCCCTGCGATGGACTGGCGACCTGTCCAGGGTGTACCTGGCCCCCCGCGACCCTGTACGCAGGATAAGCGGTTGACGATGGATGGATGATGAGACTGTTGCACATGCTCACAATAAAGCATGTGCTGCAGTTTGTATGTATTCCTGTGGTTCTCCACGCAGAGGAAATTTAGAGGAATCACGTTTCTTTCAGAGGTGTGTCAAGCAGGCTACAGACTTTTTAATGTCATTCAGAATTTTTCAAATTAAAAGCTCTCAATTCTACTCCAAATAAAGCATTGTTGTAAAGCATTGTCAAAAACGTTCTCTTGCTTTTATTTTGCTGGCAAAACCACTGAAGAGGAAGTGATTATGTGAGTAATTGTTGCTGTAATGACTAAGATCCATTTCCGCACTGCTATCAAAGCACCATATTCTAGCTGCGGGCCAGATATTATTGCTGGCGGGCAGTTTTGGCAAGGGGGTCACTAAGAGAAGTAACAATATTGTAAAATGCCTTTTGTAAACTATCTATTATGTGGTTTATAATGGACTGTGGTGCAGAAACAGTGACAATGTTACACACTCTTGGCTTGCATTTTCCATGTTATCGGTCAGTGTCTAAGTTGCAATAACATAGTTTTACTGAATAATAAAGTAAATATAATTTCTTAATATATTTATCTAAAGAAACCTAATTTCTTGACTAGCTACTCTCTGCTGTCTCAGATGACATCTTTTTTCCTGTGTCAGGCACCCAAGCTATCCTATGCTCTTGAAATGCCCTTTAATGTGAATGAGTGTGTCTACTGTGCTGCAATATAAGTGCTACCAAGTTGGCAAATTTAGCTTGTTTTCAAATGACCTTGCATTGTTCTTAATTCCTTGTTGATGTGTTCTCACTACTTATGCAAGACCAGAGCATGTAACACCTCTTCCAACACATCCTGTATACAGTGACATTCAGCCACCTCATCTTAATGCAGCGCACACCCCTTAGCTCTACTTTTTTGCAGAGTAACACTTAAGGATGCTGCCAGGAGCAACAGACCACAGTGATTTATATTCTGCTCCGCTCTCAAAGCGAACACCTTGCAGGGTCCGAGGCAACTTCAAACGAATTGGGGAGAAAGTTGGGCAGAATGGAGAACAGTATTTTTTTCAGTCTTATTGCTAACACGTATCTCACAGCTTGCTTGTTGATGTCAGCTGTACTGAAAAGACTGGGTGAACAACTCAGACAAGCCCTGAAAGTGTATTTGTTTTTTTCTGTCATTTCAGGTTGGTAACTGACAGTGTAATCATACAGTTAGAACATTGCCAAACTGTTCAATAATGTCACCTCTGGTTGATAAAGAGATCAATTTTAAAATGACTATACTTGAGAGAAACCTGCTTTGCTCACATGAATACTAAAGTAAACTATAAATTGAAAGATGAATATTAACTGTCACAACTGATTTAGTCTTGGAAATCTTGCTTCTTCAGTTGTTTAGGCATTTTACTCAGGCACATTGATCTGGCCATTGTTGGTTTCTACAACTGTGTATGATATGTAAATGTGAGACTTCAAAGAACTGAAATATAAAGGATGTGTGGAATATGCATATACTGTTTGCCTCAAGAGTATTAATATTTTCTTTTTTTCTATTTCAAACAGCTAGCAGTCCTAACTGTAGTGGTTGGCACAAAAAGCTACCAGGAGGATGGATATAAGTATGTTGCATGTTTTCTTAGTGTCTCCAGGAGTGAGTGGAGAAAGATAAGAGATTGTGTTTAGAGACTACCCAAATGAAAATTGAAAAGTTTGTGGGAAACTAAGTTGGAAGATGCAATATTCATTGTCTTATATGAAGGAAATGAAACTTTTCAATCCAAGTCTATCATAAGTTATTTACTCACCTCACTGACATAGATGGCCACATCCTCTTCTTCATCTGTTCTGTAGCACAGAGTTAGCCCCAACTTCTCTTGGCAGTTGAGTCGACACAATTCCACTTCCTGCAGATATAAGGGAAAATACGTAGTACGTAATAAGTAGTCTACAACCATGCATGCCAGGCACTGTGTTGCTTTGAGCCAAGTGTCGTCATCTGCATGCTAACAACAATGCTAACCTGCTGATGTTTAGCAGGTATAAACGTGACCATGTTCAGTTTCTTAGTTTAGCGTGTTAGCATGCTAATTTTTGTTAAATAGCACTAAACAAAGTACAGCTGAGGTTGATGGGAATGTCATTAGTTTGACAGGTATTGAAGGGGGAATGAATGCCTGTATGAAATTTCATGGCAATCCATCCAATAGCTGTCGAGACATTTCAGTGTTTCCCACAGGATTTTAAGATACTATGGTGGGAAGTTTTGAGGCTAGAAATCAGCTGTGTAGATGTCGAATATTTGCAATTTTAGTAAAAATGATGGCGAATCTAAAATTTGCTCAAATGTTTTCAGAGCTGTGACGCTCCACAACCGTCAGCGTGGGGAACTAACGAACCAGGGGGAAGCTAATGAGCCGGCCAGTCAGAGCAGCTCACAGAGCCCTCAGACACAGAGACCAGCAACAGCAGCAGAGTAAAAGACCCACAGCTGTAAGATAGTTTTAACGTTCGTACCGCTGTTATTCTGGCATTACATTCTGAGTAATGTTGTAAGGTTTTAACTTTAATCAAGAGACATCTGGATGATGTACAGAAAATGGTGATGGAAAGAAAAATCTGGTCTTGTGAAACTTCTGAAAAAATAAACAAACAGTATGAAAGTGGACTGTCTTTGCTTTATTATTATAAATTGTATTTTATTAGACATTACACTGTAGTGTACAGTAGAGTTGTGGTCACAGTATTTGCTTTTTATTTGCTTTTATTTTATATAGTTTTTTATTTATGTGCAAATATAAGTAAGTTAAAACCCAATTCTGAGCTTTTTGTTTTGGGCCTGGCTGCTATAATAATTAAAGCAACGCAGGGGCGTCTGTGCTTGGGGTATTGCACAATTCCAGAACGCATCGTCTCAAACAGTCAGCAGCGTTTTGTGTGCTCGTGACATTGCAAGTTCATTCTTCCATGAACAACTAGCAAGAACGTTCTCCCCAAGAACACAAGTCCATTCTTTGCATTCTTGGTTTTGAGAAACACCCAATGACAGGATAAAGTTGCTAACCTGCCTGTCAGCTCGCACTGGTCTCAGTGCATTTACCAAGGTTTTAATACGTGTGCACTCCAAATTTAGGTGCGGCTAGCTTAATCGCCTTCTCACAAACAAGTGACAGAAACAGACCCTTATCGTTACCGTAGTTACCTCAAAAGAAAAGCGGTTGTCTCGAGTTGGATGACAGTGTGTGAGCGTGCAAACTTACAGCAGAGCGGAGCAGCGCCCACAAAACACAACATTAGAGGTCCGAAATGTTATGAGATGTGTAAAAATATTTTCGGTTCATTTTGAAACTATGGCGGAACTATGGGAAACACTGCATTTCACTCTGAAACACAAATGTCATCTCATGGTGGCGCTTGTGGAAAGGTCGGGGGATCACCAAACTTATTGGGATTCATTCTTTGGGGACCATGAATGTCTGCACAAAATTTACTGGCAATCCATTTTGTAATTAACATATGTCACTCTAGCCAAAATCACTGAATGACAGAGGGACATCCTCCCAGCAAAGGCATGTTCAACATTAGATATACAGAGGACATTGAAAATTGAATTTTTGACCTTGGAAACGGTCTCAAAACTATCTCACCACAATTAAAGGGGCTATATGTAAGTTTTTGATTTTAATAAATCAAACTGTCATAGGCTTATTGTCAGTGGGCTCAAAACTCACTCAGAAATGAAGTACATGCCTGTTTTCTCCGTTGCTTGCATCAGCCACTATTCTGCTTTTAATGTGAGGTCTCTGGGTCAGATTGAGCCCTGTGCGCGCTCCCGAGCCTCACTCAGCCTACAGCAATAACACGGCAGCTCACGACATGCAGTCCACTAACACCATAAAACAACCAGGTCAAGCAAAACACAGGCTCCACGTAAGGATCCAAAACAACAAAGGTTTATGTGCTGAAGCCCATCAGACCAAACGGGTTCAGATGATGTTGAGTAAGAACAAAGTGAGCATTAGTAAAGCTGGAGAAACACAGAAAGTCACGTTAGCTCGCCGGCTAACACCGAGCAGTTGCTAATGTTATCCGGTGCAAAGTTATATAACGTTAGCTTTCCACATTACTTCACCAACTAACGCTACCTATGTTACTATCATGTGTACCACTGTTGATTTAGCATGCAAGAAAGTATGTAACGGCAAAAAGCAAATGTGGAGCGATTTGTTTACTAAAGGTAGCCTATATTGATGCAGCCAGCTAACGCTACAGTAGCTCGGACCGTGACCATGTAACGAGCATGGATTAGTTCAACTTTCAGCTGATAAAAATATTACTGTAGTGGGCGTTGCAGTGGGAGTTTACCCGAGTTTCCAGCTCTGTCTGTCTATAGCCGCTGTCACTCTGACTCTTTATGGGAGGATTGTGCCGATATGCGGCTCGCTGCGCTGAATGAAGTAACGTTACGGAGCCGGTGTAGACCTGCCTCTGAGACGGGAACGTTGAAATAACAGAGCCTGAACATGTCTGAGTGAAAAGCCACAGCCTGCATGCTGGTGTTTCTGCGTTTATTGCAGGATTTCTGTATGACAATGGTTGTGTTTTGGATTATGCTCGCTCATGACTTCAAGCGAGCACGCGTACGAGCACACGCCTGGTTGCAATCTTAGAACCGCACCGCTAGTGGCCGCTGAAAACTACATAATGCCCCTTTAAGTAGCTGTTTGAATTTTAGATCACATCACGCAGTCCTACCTCAGGAGATGGAGTTTGTCCAGTTGTCATGGAATAGTAGATGGTCAAACTTCCATGTTCCAGAATACTTTAAGCATTTCTCTTCTATTTTGGCTTGTACTCAGAAAATAAACATACTACAATACAACGACAACTGCACAAACTGTGATATGACCGAAAGTTCCGGAACAGCTACCAAATGAACCTCCATGGTGATTTTGTTTTGCAGAAATAGAGGATTTCTGTAACCTTAAATGAAGAAACAGAAGCTGAGACTAAATTCTATTTTCCTACTATAAAAACCTTGATGCATAACAATAGCTGCAGAAACAGAGTTTCTGCTAATGATCAAATAACGCTGTTCTTCCAGTTTCAGCACAAAAATTGTACTTGTTTTTGAGACGCTTATGGAGTCTGGATTGCCAACTCTCGTCTGAGGTTTTGATTCTGAAAGTGTTTGATCATGAAAGACATTCTCAGCTTGCAGTGTTTTATCGGTGGGGCTTTGATAAATGTCAGAGGACCTCAAGTGGTTTTTCTTTCAAGCTGTTGCCAAGTTATAGAATATTAGACTATAAATAAACAATAATTATGCTAATGCTACCTGATATACATATTTGTTGCAGCACAAAAGTATTCCTTATCTTCCCTAGGGGAGAGATCAACAAACTATTGACTTACAAATCAGTGGTCGTCAAATTTCCCACGAGCCTCTTGAACATAGCAAAGTACCCTAGCGTCAACATGGATTGTTCATTTAAGTTCGTAAATACAAACTCACAGAAAGTTAAATTTGATTAGTCACACCTAGAACTTGAGTGTCATAGTCCCCCGACATCTAATATCTGAAGTATGTAGTGAATATGGAACCACACACAACTTCCAAGCTTGCAGACAGTTAATGTACATAAGCCACTTTGCACTCTCAGTTTCAACAGAGGTGCAGCCACAAACAGCACAAGACTGTGCTCCATCTCCAAATGGTGAAACATATCAAGGGTGTTGGAGAGAATCAAGTGTGAAATGGCCTCTCCTCTCAAAGTCTTCATTAGAGCAGAAACACACCAACTCTCAACAGCAGGAGCGAGGTGGTTGAGTGGAGAGGAGGATGGAGGGGGCAGAGAGAAATGAGGCGGTGGTGGGGGCTCTGGTGGGGCTCAGAGGGGACTCACACAGAAAGAGAGATTCATTTCCTCTGTGACAAGTGTTGGTTGGCTGGTTACACGTGTCAGATGTGGCAGGGCTTTGGGAAGGGGAGGGGGTGAAGTCTGACCATGGTGGGATGAGATGAGGGGAAAAGGCCAATACCGCTGCCAGAGAGCCACCACCCTCCTAAGCTGTTTATGATCCTCCACTTCCTCACACACAAACACATCTTTAGGCTCAATTCCCATTTTCTTCTTCACCCCGTCACTCATTTCTTCCTACACGTCTCTGCCTCTGCTTTTCTCACACATTGACACATCATTGAGGTGTTTGTGGACCAGGGATCTGCTGCTGCTGGGCTACACATACTCCCCCACACACTCATACACAAAAAAAGTAATTCCTGCATCCTTGTACAATCTCTATGCTTACAGACATACGTGTTCTCAGCAAAGTGCACACAATCACACAGAGAAAAAGAAATCATCCAAGCTTTGTCGTTTTATCTTTCTCTAGAGCCTCCACCTGACGGGGCGCTCAGATCTTTAATTGACTGTCTCAGAAGCGATGACAACTTCAAATCTTGGCTGATATGTAAGGATACAATGTAAAAAGGGGGGAAAAGCTTTTGGTCCGGACTACCTGAACAAATCAGTCATTAGCTATATTAAAAATGTTACTATTGAGCTACCACCATTATTGTTGGTAGAGGTATTATTAAAGCAGCACATCACCTGATGCAACAAAGCAGTCATGGAGGTAATGGGAGCTACGGTGACAACGTCGCTTGCATGCTAATATGATGTGAGAAGTTGTGGGATATCTGGGAAATATTGAAATGACTAGCAATGTCTCAGAGATGTGGCTACAAATAAAACACCAAAATTTATAGCTAAGCCTGAAGCAAAGCTGATGTGTGAACAGGTACAACAACGCCCCTCTCTGGCTCTGTAAAATAAGCCTTAAGTTACTTCTGACTATTAATGGCTAGATATAGTGCATGAGAACTAAATGATAGAGAAAATAGATTGCTATAATTTTTGCATGTTGGATGACACATCAAACCATTGCATGCACGTGTGTGTACGTAACTATGTGTAGCACACACAGTGTATGAGACCCCCTTTTTCTTTACCAGATGTTCTTATGTTTTCTTGTTTTAAAGACAATATTGTGTAGACAGAAACACCCACTCACACTCCAGTAAAAGGAAGTTGTCTCCTGATGCATCAAAAAAGCATCCACCAATCTCTCCTCTCGCCTTTTGATTTTTTTTACCCTCTCTCCATAAGAGCTGTCTGCCTCTCTTAGGCAGGAGATTACAGTGTGGCAAAGGGACGAGGGCTGACAGTACATTAATGACTGCGATGGCGTGATTAGGGCGAAGATTGCCGCCCACCATCAAATAACATTGGATGCTGTCATAATAATTGCGCCTTTGATTGCCAGTAATTGAAAAAGCAGTCCCAAATGCATGAATGGCTACCACTGGCAGGAAGAGAGGAAAGAGTATCTCTGAGCTTGAGTACTTTGCTTCTTCAGAACTTACTGGAACTAATCAGAGGAATGGTTACTAACATGGTATTGTGGCTACATATGCATAAAGGGATCTTAGGAAATGTATGATGTTTCTGTGTAAAATTTCTTGCTACAAGGCATGGTCTTGAAGATGAAGTGCAGAACCTTATGGTGGAATTTGACGGTCAGTACCTACAATGGGGAGAACAAGTATTTTTATTCACTGCTGATTTTACAAAGCATGTAGAGGTCTGTCATTTTTATCATAGGTACACTTCAACTGTGAGACACAGAATCTAAAACAAAAATCCAGAAAATCACATTGTATGATTTGTAAATAATTAATTTGCATTTTATTGCATGACATTACACCGATTACAGAACCCTTCTCTCATTCAGAAATATATTTATCACAGAAACAAATCAGTAACTTGCTTACATATGCATTTTTTGGCCAATTGGGGATGGGTAGCAAGCTGCAATTGATGAAACTTCTGACTTGCTAGCTGGTAAACGCTCCACTGTTCACCAGCTAGCTGCTAACTTTGTATGCTGTTTGGTGCTCAACAGGTAGCATACAGTCACTATACTTTTCAGTGAAAACAGCTGCCTGCTGTGGCTTCGTTACATCTATGATGTTACATGACAGCATAGCTCTATCGCTTACCTTGTGACTGTCTCAATGAGAAATGTATTAATTGTGACAACATTTCAGCTTATTAATCAACTGGCCTTTTTGGTTTGAGCTCAGCTGTTTTTGGTCTGATGGTAAAGCTGCACGTCATAAAAAATGATAAATCAATAAAAATGAGCAGATGGACTCCTTGATCATTACACTAATTTGATCCATTGTTAACATAAAATTAGTGATTAGGACAACTTTAAGTGTGAGTAAAAACACTAAATGTCTAAATGTCAGTGATGAAGGTTGTAAAACCTAGTTCACACTACACAATTTTAAGCCCGACTTACCGGTCAGCAGGGGTGTGATCAGGGGTAAATCCGTGATCGATCAGCGGTGGCCAGTCGTGTGTAGGTTTGCGTCATTTCACGTTTTTTCTTGACGAAACGTGGTATGGAGACCAGCGTCAGGTGACAGAGTCCTTGTCAGCTCGTGTAGTGTGTGAGCCCCTGTCACCGATCAGTCACGTAGTGTGTGTGTACGCCACAACGATTTCAGACTCCCTTCACAAGACTGCAAATTGTGTAGTCTGAACAGCACAGCCATCGGCTGACGCTGAAAGTTGTGTAGTCTGCATGAGCCTTAAGGTGGAGGTCATCAAAATTTTATGTATGAACTCTACAGGTGTTTGTAAAAACAGTCTTTTGATGTCTCTACTGATAATTCATTGAATACAGTCTTTGGATCTGATGGGGACTAGCAGTATGTGGTGCATCTGGGGCCACTAATCTATTAAGTACTACGTGTAGGAAAATGAAAATGAGCCCAAACAGTTTTGAAATATCCAGTATACTATGACTGTGTACTCTGGCATCTCTCCACCTCTTGATTACCCTAACAGAAACATCAATGTCCTGGTGTATTAGGAAGGTAAAGTAGATTTAGATGGTTTCTCTGTGATGTGATGGCAAACTGCTCTCCCCCACTGTGCTTTTTCGTCCAACAAAAGGTAATTTAAAGAAATGTCTTTCCTTCAGTCTCTTTCCTCTCCTTCAGCAGGGAGTGAGGGATCAGGTCGACTCTGAAAGTGGCTTTTCGGCTTTCGCCTACATCCCCCTCACAGCATTTTCAGTTGACATACAGTAAGTGGGGCTGCATTAGCGCGGTATCTAATTCCCCAAGCATGAAATAAAAAAATGGTGCAGGCTACAAAGCATACACAGTGTAATAGGATTTGTTAATAGCAATGAGGCATAAAGAGAGGCTTTAATATATTATATTTGTTCTGATTTGACACTAGGGCCTCTGTGATCCAAGCGGGTGCACAGATCTATTTAGGATGTGTAGAAACAGCTCAAGCTCAGTGGGTGGAAGCATTCAGAACAAATTCATATGAAAAAAAAATAAGAGGTAGGGGTGAGTAATCATCATACATCAGACCAGTTGGGAGCCCTTGCTGGCAATATGCTCGTACCTCAATGACTCGGAAATAAAGAATATTGGACCAAAGCAGGGAGCGGAGACAGAGTCTGTTTATCTCTTCCCGTCACAGTCGAATCAGTGCATCTGTGTGTAATCTGTATTTGTCAGAGATCAACAGCCATAGAAACATCACCTATCCAACTGTGCCTTTCGCATACAGTCCAGTAAAGATGCAGATGCAGTGAAGTAAAGAAATGTGTTTACATCATTTCTTACTATCACACACTACAGATGCCTCACTTTAATTGGGTTTGATTGAGTTCAAAGTCAACCATCTTGCAAGCTTTATTCTTCTAGAGTTGTGAAAACAATTAGCAAATCTCAGGTAACACCGTTACCGTTGTTGGAGGTTTTCAACTTTCTTTTTGCTTTGTAGAAATAAAGCTAAAACATGGAGGCATGCCATCATTGCCAATAGAAGCAAGACATTTTTCTAGCGGTCTGCAATGTGGCTGATCATCTGTCACTGCTGTCCCCCTGGGATCTGTCTGTAGAGTCAATTAGTGTTTGCGCCCTTCTACCAATTGTTAGGCATCATTAAATCTGGAGTATTGAGGGAATGTGAGTCCATGTGCTGGAAGGTCACATGTGTACATATGGGTGCAACTCTCTGCTAAATGTTCAGCATTTTAGAACTTAAATGGTTTGTTAGCAACTAAACCCTCCTGATACTGGGCTACCTAAACACATAACATAAAAAGATATTTTTGATAAGGATCCCTTAAAGCCCTTACAGAGCCATAGTCATTCACACAGATGTTGCCTGATTAGACCTCTTCTCTGGACCGCGTGGACGTGTACAAACTGCAGTTGATTTACATCTCCCTGACTCTCCTGTTAGTTTTGCTGCAACTGTTAGTCGGGAAACCTTACATCCTTATCATTTATAGATTAAAGTACATAGGTGGATGCTAGGTGAAGCTCTGTTGGGAATTATGTGAGATCACCCAACTCTGAGGAGACTTCTTATCAGCTAGTGTAACTGGAAACACCTGTATTAGGTATTAGATTTATTACCAAGAGTTAGATGAGAAGATTAATACCACTCTATTAACTGTGAGGCTGAGGGGAAAAATAGCTTAGCTTAGCACAAAGTCTGTAGGCAGAGGAAAAGTCTGTCCAAAGTTAAAAGAAATCTGCCTACCTGCATCTCTAAAGTGCACTAATTAACAGTCACTACACCCGGCCAAGGAATAATTAAAGAATGTAACTCCCCATAAAACCACAAAATGTTGTTTTTACATTTCTGTTTGTGTTGGGTCAAACAAGTTAGTTGTTAATTAGTTAGGTGGCTAAGTGGTATTCTAAGCTAACAGATGCTGGCTGAGCTTCATACTTATGGACAGACATTAGAGTTGTATCAATCTTCTCAGTCTCACAAGAAAACAAATAACCATATTTTCTAAAATATTCAACTACTCCAAGAATTGTGACCAAGATATGTACTAAGCTACCATGTTACAGTTGAAAAATAAACTTCTCAGTGCAGTTCCTCTTTCTATCTTTGGCATGTCTGTACTGCAATTTCTTGTGACTTATCTGCCAACGTATGTAACAATATAAATCAGTGATGAGCTAAAATTTGCCATGCCAGTGAATGAGTCAGGCTCTAGTAAGCAGTGATGTCAAGTGTGATTCCTACCTCATACTCAAACTCCTCTGTCCTCTCTCCATCAGCTTGAACAGGGGAGAGGTAGTCTGTCCCTTCATAGTAATCCTGGTCCATTGTATGAAGAGAATGACAGCTGTTAGAGGAGAGAGGCAGAGGAAGAAAGAGAGGGAAAGACGGACAGGGAGGCAGAGAAAAAGAAAGAGGTGGAGAGTTGGGCGTAAGCAAGATCATTTTCCTCATTTTCTTTCAAATGCATTCAATACCTATAAGTGACAGGATTTCCTCGCCTTTGTCTTTGCTGGAATCTGAAGAATAAAGGATTTGTCAAGGGCTTTCAGTGCTGCTGGAGTGTGTGTGATAAAGGTACAGCCCCTTGTTAATAACAGCGTATCCACATAATTTGCCTCCTGCTTTTGACAGACAAAACCCCCCACAATGTACAGTGTAATTCTATTATGCTTCCCTCAGTCACTGAACAAAACAACATTGTAGGGGCCTAACAAGATGAGCAGCTTTGGTGCCACAAGAGATAATCATAGTGGACAAAAACTTCAAAAAGACACTACGTTGAACGTGTTGAGTGACGTCTTCAGGGGCTGTCTGACTCTCAGATTATCCAACACTGTAAAACTTTCTCCAAACAATCTTCCAGTCATAAACCAGACTGGTAAATGTCAGAATGCTTTACACTTTGGTGCCTCAATATTACATATTTGGCAGTGGGTGCAAAGAATACAAATACAAATTTACAATCTAGCCTCGAAAATAAGAGTGACAAACATTTGCTGTATCTATAAAATCTGCTGTATATTGGATTGTGCACCTGATCTCAGATGCTGAGAAGAAAATGTGAATTTTATGGGACACCTTGATTACATTTGGGCTCGGCCTGCGGCTATAAATAGCCCGTGAGCACACGCTGCACTGTGTTGCCTAGTTTTTTATTAGCACATTTGCTTTAATCACCTTGTAAACCTTCCCCGAGTCAAAATGGATACACCTAGCAGTTCCAATTATGCCAAGAAGGCCCCATGGGGATTTCTATGGTGATAATGTGTGAGATATATACCTGTGGCAATGATTTTGATCAGGTCATGTATACTACTTTATAGCTAGTCTTTTTAGTGATTATTTTAATGATGAGCGATACAGATGGGGCAGCCAACTGAAATTCCATTTGTGAATGTCTAAGCAAGTCTCTAATGACAAATGACAACAGATATTCAGAGAACTCAAGATGATTGTTGGAATTAATTATCCACTGTAACAAACATACACACGGTTCACCAAGACCGTCCTGACTTCCCAGTTCTGGGCTTATGAAGCTCCTGCATTGCTATTGATTCATTCCCAGGAGGTGAAACCCAGATTTTCCTTTATGCTAAACTTCTCTTGTTCACAGTTTACTTCTCCTTTGAGATGAACAGAATATAAACTAAAATACCAGAAGTGGAAATAATGAACCCTGTTTCTTTTGTTGTGTTCCAGGAAAACCTCATGTTGATACTTTAAACTCTCAAGATCTTTTTTTTGTACGTATGTTTATCCCATCCTCTCACATAGACAATAAAAACATGTCTTTGAGGTATTGTACTACCCAACATCCTGTTGAGATGTGATTAGATGTCTACTCATTGTACCACACGTAAAAGTAACTCGAGTACGTACATCTAGAGTTATGTTTCTGTAGCTGATTACTTAAGCAGACATGTGAAAGATAGTCCGGCATCATAGAGAGGGGTTAAAATGCAGTTTGTTAAAAGGACAGTTAAACTGCATGTGCTGTGTACTGAGCAGGGAAAGCACATTCAACAGTCAAACCGTGAATATTTATTTATCTGTAAATGTGCATTTCTTTCTGCCACTCAATCACAATTACCCCTAATGCGACTCTGTCTGCGCTGTGTTCAAGTGATGTAGGAGTAACAATTTCTATGGCTTGACAGATCCAGATACTCATGTATTGACAGTCACTTGAGGCTGTCATATATGACTACATTTTTGGTGGACCTGAATAGCTTATATTTGTTAACATTTTCCAACTTAAAGTTTATCTACTTAATAGGGGTGTGACGAGATCTTGAGACATCTAAAAATGGAAGCCAGTCTTGCTGTGTTTGGAACTGTGAGCTGCACTTTATCTGAGCTGCTGAAGTTAATGTGTGTGGATTTGTGGTGAGATTTGTTTAATCAAAAGTGTTTCATTTACTTTCGGTTTCGCAGTCCTAAACTGCATCCGTCAAACTGTCTGAAGGGGATGATGTTACTACCAACGGATCATAACGTAATGTACAGCAGAGTATAGGGCAGGTAGACTTCTCATCAAATGATGACGTTAGTCTTGTAACATTCTGCCTTTTTTCTGGACATGTCAGAGAACACATGATACAGTGGGTAAGGAAAGTATTCAGACCCCTGTAAATTTTTCACTCTTTGTTTCACTGCAGCCATTTTCCAAAAATCAAAAAAGTTCATTTTATTTCTCAGTAATGTACACTCAGCACCCCATCTTGACAGAAAAAAACAGAAATGTAGAAATTTTTGCAAATTTATTAAAAAAGAAAAACTGAAATATCACATGGTCATAAGTATTCAGACCCTTTGCTCAGTATTTAGTAGAAGCACCCTTTTGATCTAATACAGCCATGAGTCGTTTTGGGAAAGATGCAGAGAAGTTTTTCACATCTGGATTTGGGTATCCTCTGCCATTCCTCCTTGCAGATCCTCTCCAGTTCTGTCAGGTTGGATGGTAAACGTTGGTGGACAGCCATTTTCAGGTCTCTCCAGAGATGCTCAATTGGGTTTAAGTCAGGGCTCTAGCTGGGCCATTCAAGAACAGCCACGGAGTTGTTGTGAAGCCACTCCTTCGTTATTTTAGCGGTGTGCTTAGGGTCATTGTCTTGTTGGAAGGTAAACCTTCGGCCCAGTCTGAGGTCCAGAGCACTCTGGAAAAGGTTTTCGTCCAGGATATCCCTGTACTTGGCCGCATTCATCTTTCCCTCGATTGCAACCAGTCGTCCTGTCCCTGCAGCTGAATAACACCCCCACAGCATGATGCTGCCACCACCATGCTTCACTGTTGAGACTGTATTGGACAGGTGATGAGCAGTGCCTGGTTTTCTCCACACATACCGCTTAGAATTAAGGCCAAAAAGTTCTATCTTGGTCTCATCAGACCAGAGGATCTTATTTATCACCATCTTGGAGTCCTTCAGGTGTTTTTTAGCAAACTCCATGGGGGCTTTCATGTGTCTTGCACTGAGGAGAGGCTTCTGTCGGGCCACTCTGCCATAAAGCCCTGACTGGTGGATTGCTGCAGTGATGGTTGACGTACTACAACTTTCTCCCATCTCCCGACTGCATCTCTGGAGCTCAGCCACAGTGACCTTTGGGTTCTTCTTTACCTCTCTCACCAAGGCTCTTCTCCCCCGATAGCTCAGTTTGGCCGGACGGCCAGCTCTAGGAAGGGTTCTGGTCGTCCCAAACGTCTTCCATTTGAGGATTATGGAGGCCACTGTGCTCTTAGGAACCTTAAGTGCAGCAGAAATTTTTTTGTAACCTTGGCCAGATCTGTGCCTTGCCACAATTCTGTCTCTGAGCTCTTCAGGCAGTTCCTTTGACCTCATGATTCTCATTTGCTCTGACATGCACTGTGAGCTGTAAGGTCTTATATAGACAGGTGTGTGGCTTTCCTAATCAAGTCCAATCAGTAAAATCAAACACAGCTGGACTCAAATGAAGGTATAGAACCATCTCAAGGATGATCAGAAGAAATAGACAGCACCTGAGTTAAATATGAGTGTCACGGCAAAGGGTCTGAATACTTATGACCATGTGATATTTCAGTTTTTCTTTTTTAATAAATTTGCAAAAATTTCTACATTTCTGTTTTTTTTTCTGTCAAGATGGGGTGCTGAGTGTACATTACTGAGAAATAAAATGAACTTTTTTGATTTTTGGAAAATGGCTGCAATGAAACGAAGAGTGAAAAATTTAAAGGGGTCTGAATACTTTCCGTACCCACTGTATGTCAGAGATTTTAAATGTGCAGAACGTTTTGAACATGAGCAGAAAAGCTGCTGAAACACAGGAGCTATTAAAGTCCAGGAGTTTATAACTAACTAATTTATCATTGAGGTGACTAAATCATGACTCAGCAGGGATGATATTACATGAGAAAAGTTGATCACAGAATGCCAGAGAGCTGCACTGCATTATATTCTGCTATAGTTAAGTTACAGAGTTTGAACTGTCACCTACCACCGGAATTTTGTGTTTTTATTTTTATAAATAATTTTTAAAAATCACCATAATGCAGGAAATAGTGCTCAAAATTTTCAGATAATTCAGCATTAAATATCTCGATCTTGTGAACCCAATCTCGAATCGCGTCTCGCCTCATGGGTTAAGTGTCTTGTCACACCCCTACTACTTAGTGATACACTTAAATTAATGCTTTATACTAAAATAAACACTGAAATGGCAATTTACACAAACATTCGGTATCAATGGCTAATTAGGACCACTTAGCCTTGTCCTTTATTCCTATTGGTAAAAGGATGACTTGAAGGATATTGAGAAGCTCATTCACCAAGCAAATCTAATTTTGTCAGTATCAAGTATGCAGCTGGTTAGACAATTAATTTATATTTTACAGGCGCCTTGCACACTTGAAATGCTAATCCTGCAAACACTGATATTTCTGCTTCATAGCTCAATAATTTCTCACATAACAGTACTTTTTTTCCTTTCTTAATTACCATTAGTCCCAACCAAAGTCAAAACAAGGACACAACAACAAACTCTTTGTAGCACTAAACTGAAATCCTTTGTAATGATATTATATCAAATTAAATGAAAATATATCACTGTCCTCAAACTATAATCCCCATTTTCAATCACTATCATGATTCGCATTTATAATTTACAGAGATGTAAAAAAACTACATTCATTTCTTATTGTACGTACCTGTCAGAGAGCAGGAAGGGACAGACGTCAGGCACAGGAGGGGTCGAAGGCCGGAGCTTTGCCAGCGCCATGATGTGTTCAAAGGTGATGTCAGTCTGAGTGCACACATCCACCACATGGATTTCCTGAGGGGGGCCATGGGGGCGGCCGCTGGGGGTCCGCCTGATGACCTGCACCACGACGGGGTCCTTGGCTGTGCGAAAGGCCTCCACAGTCTCCTCATGGCTGGACTTGGACAACTCCTTCCCATTCACCTGCAGGAGGACAGGGAAAAATAGTTTAGCAGAGGCCTTGTTGGGCTAGACTTGATCTAACTGCTTCTGCTAAATCTCTGTATGCAGAGCCGAAAGGACCAGAGTTTTCCTGCAAAGTGACATTAGAATAAAAGCCAGCTAAAAAGCCATGACGGAAGGCAAGGTACAGCTAATATTACTTTTATTCTTGCTCTTACGCTCTTTATACTAAGTAAAACAAGGAGGTCTGAGAAATGTATGTTAAACTCTAATACAATGCAGCCTCAGTCATGCACCCTCCAATTATTTATGTCCATGATCTGTCTCTCTCAATAGGCAGTCCATATACAGTATATCCATATACTGTATATATTATATACATATATGGACTATATATTCAGTCTCATAGAACAAAGCTGAGCTCTACATCCCCTCTATATCCCCTCTATGACACTGTGGCCTGCTTTTAGAAATGTAACTCCTTCCAGCTCCCCAGCCTCAACCTTGATTAGCATTTAGTCATACCTGGATTTTGAATGTTTCTTTTAAATGGTTCATGTTCATTTAAGGCTGTGTATCTCTGTTGGTCAGTGTTTGTGAGCTCCCGGACAGTCTGTCTCAAGTTTGCTCACATTTATTCCAGAGCACAGCATGAGTACAGTCACACCACCAAATTAAAATGCATATTGTCGCAACAAAAGGTTAAAACTGTGACATGAGTGTTATGATTGGATGTGGTTAAACTAAATATTTACTCGAAAATCTCAGCATCAGATCCCAGCAATACCTCCTATATAGCCTGAACATGCAATAAAGACAATATTGTGCTCTCAGGGCCGTTTTCCCTGCATTGCTAGTACAACTGTACAGTTGTGCTCAGGGTGAATGCATTCAGAAAGAAATTTAAATATTTTCCTGAATTTCTTCTTGACAGATGATCAAGAAGAAAAATTTATGAATACATTGGAAGAAAATACACACAAAAACACTGTTTGATACAACATTATCAGACTGTTAAATCAAAGCCTAAATAGCCCCTGTTCACTCAGTCCATCTTCAACCTCTTCTTCACAAAATGACCTGGATTTTCTGGCAGATTGAAAACCATTTGCACTACAGCTGGCACATATAAAGAAAATCATTGCTTCATTTAACACCAGTAATTTCTCTGGAACAGAAACCATGGCTGTGGAATACCTTAGAGAATGTGCTTTGGTATAAACGCTGAAACCAGAGATTATAATTTAGATAACCACAAAAAAAGGGTAGACACAGCATAATTACACTTGCAGTTGTATTTAAATTTGGCTTTGGAGTGCAGCATTTTGCTTGCACGGCAAACTGAAATGTGTCAGCTGTGGAAAAATACAGCAAGGCTGGGAATCTCAAGACCAGTGTTTCAGAACTCAAAGCACAAACTCTCTCTATAAAAATATAAAGCCTAGTTCAGACTTTCAAACAAAATGACCTAAATTCATGAGCAGTTGACAGTTTCATTCAACTCCAGCTGTGTGTATGTGGAACCTCTAAGATGTAAAAGCCACTGGGGAACTCCTACAAAGAGAGCTTATATTTTCAACCCCAAATATTCCACCACTAATTCTTCACTAACACATGTTCTGTTATACATCTCGCTGAATTTGACACAGTACATTTTGAGAAATGACTCAACACATTTTGAGCATGTTAAAATATAGATAGATCCTGACGTAAAATTCCTCTGTAAAGTCAGGCTCAACAGGGATGTTTTATTTTTTTCTAATAAATATGTCTGTCTACATATTGCCTTTCTTGACAAGTCCCCATCTGAGATGTACATGACCAGACAGTTTGTTTGCATCTGTGAACAGATGTCCTTTCACCTAGAACATTATTGATTAATCTGCTTATTATTAATTTGATTAATCAATTGTTTGGTCTATGAAATAAATAAAAAAATGATCTTCAAATTTCTTATTTGACTTGACTAAAAGATATTCAGGTTAGTATACTGCATATGACAGAAGCAGCATTTGAGAAGCTGGAACCTGAGAATTTTTTTCATTGATAATCAAGTACGTTTTCAAGCAAAAGTTCTTCCCGATTATTTTTCTGTCCATCAATTAATCAGTTTATCATTTCACCTCCACTTTTGACCCCTTGGAAACATCTCTAAATGTATGTGCAGCTCCTCATCACAGGATGCATATCTCTGAGTTGTGATCATTAAAAAGTTTTTTTACACTCTCAGCTTGTTGAACTGGAATCACTTTAAGAGACTAGTTAATGTTAAACTATCCAGTATAAAGAAGACTAAAGATTGTTTTTTTTTTAAAGTCGGGGGAAAAAATCTATTGTAGCAGAAATCAATAATTTCTTGACTCCTCCTATTGATCTTGCAACCCTTTAAAGGAGGTCCAACCCCCAGGTTGGGAACCAATGCGTTATGAACAAATGGAAAGCCAAGACAATTTTAAAAATATGCCTCTATTCCGATGTTTGGTCACACACACACATACACACACGCGAGTCATCTAGGTTTTTGTGTTATACAGCGTGTGTCCGAACTTTGCTTCTTCTTGAAAGGGGCACTCAACAGTATTAAGGAGAAGAACTGTCAAAATTGACAATGTAGAAGCACAGAGTAGGCTCCTTATTTTTTCTAACATTAGAAATCTCCCTGCAGAAGTGCCATAGAAGATATACTATACAAAGACTAAAAGAAAATATAAACAAAAATTACAATGTAATAATAGTTATAATACAATAAGAGTGTTACTCTAATGTCTGGTTCATTCCTTTGTGTGTGTGTGTGTTTTATTGTTTTTTTCTTTCACATCTCAATGTGTGCCTCTAGAGACTGAGTGATGCCCTACAAAACAACAACTTATTTTCTCAGCTGTAGCAGTAGCCATATATAACTCCCTTAGCTCTTGTTGTACTCTGGCCTGCTCCCCTGCCTCCTGGTTTGACCTTTGTTTGTAGCGATGCTGCATTAATCACCTGAGTGGGAGATAAACTGGGTCAACACCACTCCTGTGGAACTGCAGGGCAATTTGGAGGAAAAATAATCGTGCAGTCTCCCTCATCCCTCCTTCCCTACACTCCAAACCTGCTTTTCATTCTTTTTTTTTTGGCCAGTCAGCAGGTACTAAATACTGCAGCATGTACATTAGAGTTAAGTACTGTATTAAAGAAACATGGAACGCTACAGTATAATAATTAGCTTATACGGTGTAGTTCCTTTGAATGTCTCTCTTTATTTTCCTGCTTGTCTCTCCCTCCACAGGCTAATCCTGGAACAGGGAGCCTGGTGGAAACAAAGGAGTTGGAGCAGACAAATGAGGCAGCCCATGGCGTATGACAGTCCCAGAGAAAAATGATCAAATTTCCCAGCTCTCCCTCTGGTACAGCCTGTCCAGTCCAGACTCCTCCTCCTCCTCCGAGCCTCACCGCTTGCTAGCCATATTCCATGACCATAGTGAAACAAGAGGAAACACGTCAGAAAAGAGAGGAGGGAGTGTTGTTTTTTATTCTCTTCACTGGTTTTCATGAGAGCCAGATGGAACAATTAATCCCCAATCAACACAGGAATATTAAGTAGCCTTAACTCCTGCATGAGGGACTTTACCATCCTTGTTGTGTCCCCATGGCTAATGTCTATCCAGCTAAACACACTGCTTCAGTTAGCTGTGTGGATCTGTTGTCCTATCTGACAGATGGGAAGGGTTTCTATAAGCCTGGCTGCAGCTTCTTAGAAATTCTTCAGCTATTCCAACACTGAAGATCTGCCTCCAGCACAGATCTTGAGCTTTACTCTCTGCAAAGTGCATTATCAACTCGCATGCCTAAAGATGCTGAAGGTGACACAAGAGTGAAATTTGAATGTGAATCATTTTTGCAATTGGCTTAATTCCCAAGTAGCCTTAATTAAACAGTATTTCTTGCCACATTCACAGTCCACTCTCACTACAAGCTGTAGGCTCTTAAAATTTCATCACACATTTTGATGTAGTCACACTAGCATAAACTATCCTCTTCAAGTGTGCATGCAAAGTATGCAAATACAGATTAATTTATAGACACATGCTGGTAAACAAAATCTGTTTGAAACAAATTATTTAGCAGCTGTAGTGTTTACCCAGCCCAATGCAGCTCTGCAAGTGCTTCACAGCCAAAACTGCTCCATACGCACAGAGTCAACATGAATTATCATCTTGGTCTGTAACAGAACAATGGTGATTATTCATGAGAGATCATTTGCTGTACAATTGGGCCAGGAGATGATCAGGTAAATGTTGCTGGACCAAGACACATCTGCTGGCTGTTTGCACGTGGATATGCAGCAGCTGTAGCCAGAAGAGAAATTAGATTTTATTCAAAGCCCCTGAGACGACCACCAGCCTTCCTACAACAAATGCAGTAAACCAGCTTAGCGGAGTGCAACGAATGGATGAAACTTCTTTTCTTTCATTCTCTCCGTGGCAGAGTCCCATATTGACAAAGACATTCAAAAAAATGTGAGCTTGTGACGCAGCTGAGTGTATCAAGTCTGCGCTTCAGTAAATATCACACATCACTTTAAGCTGTTCGGAGCTGTTACGAGCAAACAAACAGGCTTACTCGAAAACTTCACCAAAAGTCACTGTTTTTACAACTATGAGCCCACAGTCGCCTACAGCGAAGCACAATCCTGAAGGTTCTCTCATCTGTGTCCTATCTTATCGTTTATCCTCCAGGTTTGAGGACAAGCAAGAAAGAACAAACACGCAGCAGCTTAGCTCGCATCCTCAGGCATCTCCTCCGTCAGTGCTTTTGTCTCATCGACTGCTGCCTCCCATCAATATATCCAAAGGCAGAGGGTAGAATGTGGTGACAGTGGTACTAAAATGGGACCAGTTTATCTGTTAAGATGTCAGCTTCAGCCACATCTGATGCTGCTTCTGCTGAGGGACCACTTCTATGGGAGGTACAGACACTGCCGACAGCTTGCAAGGGATTACTGATAGACGTGATTGATGGATTTCTTCTGCAAGGAGAAACGGCAGCCTCAGGCAGTCAATGCTGATAGTCCATTAGCTTTTTTATGCCTTCGAATTAACTGCATACATTGCTTTATGGCTTGCATGTAGCACTTTGAATCTTAATTAAATGTTTTTGTTTTCAGTTTTATAGAGTTTATGCTGCGCACAAGGATAAAGTGTTTGTCTTCACTCATATCCTGGTTGAGCACTAATTTAAATGAAGAAAGGTCATCCTTTCTATTTCAGCTACACCGACAAGTAAACAAAGCTTTCAGTGGCAGAAGAAAGAGCATCAGAGGCTCATATTTAACTGGTGTGTATAACCTTGTGTGGCGTGCTTAACATCTGTACATGCAGCAAGCATCCGTTACACAGAGTCTGTATCTCCTGTGTGCAGTCACCTGCTGGTTTGAGTGGCAGCCTGTGGGGTGTTAAGTGTATGCAGGCAGATGGAGAAAGTGTAACATGTAGGTCATCCAACCTCTGGAGTGTTTTGCTTACAGACGTCAATTACACGCCTGTTGTATCTCATCATCTTTTGGGAAAAGGCAACACGACCCCTAAGCGTTAGGGTTCGGTCAGCTGTGTGGAGCTTTCAGATAAAACAGTTGGAGGAGAAAGGAGTCTGTGATGGTGCCAGAGGAGGGGGTGGTACAGTAGATGGGGCAAAGGAAGCATGGCCACTAGAGCTATGCTGTGAAGATAGAGCACTTGAAAATGTGGATAGACGGTAAACTCCCATTTCAATGTTTTTCTCTTATATCAATCTTTCTCAAGTCTCCTGGATAATTAAAACAAGATATAATGTGTTAATTATTAAAATTTGAAGGTGTTGGTAGCTCGATTTTGTTACCTTTGGACAGAGCCAGGCTAGCCATGTCACACATCACTTTAAGCTGTTCGGAGCTGTTACAAGCAAACAAACAGACTTACTTGAAAACTTCACCAAAAGTCACTGTTTTTACAACAATGAGCCCAGAGTCACCTACAGCAAAGCAACTTCCACTCATGTAATGTTGCCTGTGCATAAAATGAACTGGATTTGTCGGACCCTGAATGGTATCTCCTTCCACTTTGCTACTCTATTGTTTGTAGATTTTGCCAACTGAGTCTATGCAACAATAGAAGGGAAGAAGAATTAAATACTCTCTGAGGTAAGTCCAAATGTTGGAAGGAAATTTTTGATGTGAGCATGACTGCTACCTCATCCTGACGGTGAGAAAACAGCTTGGGTTCCTCTTTACACCCAAATGTCTCATTTCAGTAATAAGTGTCAGAATAAAATACGGGGGCATGGGCCGCTACAGTACAGCCTTTATGACTGCATAAATCCCTCTCAGACAGTCAGCATTACTGTCTGAGTGACTCAAGCAATGCTCCAGTGACATGAGAGAGATAGCATGCCACTGGGGAAATCTTGACAATCCCCTCAACATCTCTACATGAACCAATGTACAGGCCTCCTTTAACCCCTCCAACCACATAAAACACACTCCACAAGGCCCCTGGGTTATTTTTCACATTAAAGGCCCTACATGCCGCTGCTGCGGTTTTATGCCCGCAGAACATTTGATGAATTCTGCCAATTTTCTTCTCTGAGTACCAATCTTGTATGGAGGACTCCCTTTATTGCACAACTCGCTCAAAGTATATCAGCGCTCTCAATCTGCTCTAAAAGTCATGGTCCGCCTTTTTACATACGTTTATTATCCAATCTTGTGCCGTAATCGCTTGCCGCAAGGACAACTGTTATATAAAGGACAAAGGAAAGAAGAGATCTTAGCATGAACTCACCCAACACTCAATGTCAGAAGTGTTGAGTAGCAGTGTAGGTGAAAAAAGCTCTAAGCTCATTCATGGATTGTGCAATGTCACCATCTACTACCACTGTCATTACCTGCACTTGTGTGAATGACTTCACTGTAAGGACTGGACTTCAAGAGTGTTGTGTATAGTCACCTGGGTAACTAATTACTGTTTCTGTTGAGTAATTAATAATGTAATGTCATTACTTTTACAGTGAGTAATATGTAATTAGTAATTCATAATTTTTTCAGTAACTTGCCCAACACTGATTGTGGGTCACTGTTGCAAGAATGAAATGCTGCTGCTGGAAGCTGCAACAGCTTCTCCAGGCCTACCAGTACCTCGAGCATGACCAAAAAACACACAAATGTGCACAGACAGACTCACAAGCATAAAGCCATGCTCACAATGCTGCACATCAAAGACTGCTGGGTAAACATTTCTTATTGTACTTGGCCCTATTTGTCGGATGTGCCATGTTATAATATCCACAACAAACTGCTGTTCTGCTTGTGATCATTTTCCCATGAAATTTGATCAGTACAACATTCCATCTTCATCACTAACAGATTACGGCTGAATGCGTGATAACTGTACTATGCTTTTTTGGGCTGGATTATGAAATTCTGCAGCGGTTTCTAAATATGATTTGGGACTAGTGAGTGCTAAGTTAATCAGCTTGTTCAAGGTTAATGGTACATGCAGGGTATATTTGTTAAAGAGATTTGGAGATGTGCAGTTAATCTCTGTTCTTAATTTTTAAGATCTTGCCATCTTGGAGTGAGTTTTAATGTAAAATGGAAGGAGAAAATCTAATTAGAGTAAAAGCGGCACTTGGGTGGATGAATAACTAATGGATGAACAGCCTCCTCCTTGGTGATAACTGGTAATTGGTTTGGGGGGCGGGAAAGGAGTGGGAGATGGGGGGAGTGTAGTTAGATGATGCTTTGTGCTGTGCAGATCAGCAAAATGGCTTGGCTGGCGTGAAAAGATGTAAGGAGTAATGGTGCTATCCATATGCTGACTGGGGAAAATCAAGTGTGTACTGTCATGGAACATCTCCAAATGTGCTGAGAGTCAGGCAAAAAGGAGGTACGACAAATGAGGGTGCCAATAGGAGTATTTTTAACACTAAAAGGTGTTTAAAAAAACCCAACATACAATGACAACAGCATACAAGTGCAGCCACTGCTCTTCACTTACTTTGTCTACTGTCATCCTGTGTACAATACTTCTTTATTTACAGAAGAAAGGGAGCCAATTAAATGTTAAAGGGACATTCTAGTTTACTACAACTTGGCCATCATTTCTATCAGCAATGAATGAATGAAACAATGTACTCAAAGTATCCAGTAAGATCTGGAAACCATGAAACATAAGATATATACACATAAATGATCAGACAGGTAGGGAACAAGCTGAGTTATTTGCTTTCTTGCTGAGAAACAGATGAAAAGATTGATATGTGTTAAGTGAGCTATAGAGAAGTTGGTGGGAAGATTTTTCTTACATTGGGAAAACGGCTAACATGGCTCCCATGTTAGCCGTTTTCCCGCGTTTCCAGTCATTATGCTAAGCTAAACCAACTAGCTACTGACAGTAGCTTCACATTTAGTATTTGATCATGGAAGTTGGTCTGTAAACTGTAATTTTTGTATTTACAATTTAAAGTTTTTAGTAATTTCACCATTCTCTCTCAACTTTTTAGTAATAATTGCCACATTCCCTGATCTCCGCAAATAACTTTGTGAGAACAATGCTTTTATTACAGAGACAAATAATGGCAAAAACTAGAAAAATAAGACCCAAGTTGTAATGAACCAGATGTATCTTTATTGAAGACTGTCTGCAGATGAAATGACGCAGGTAGCATATGGAACTAGCAATGCCTTTGAATGGCAGGACCAGTCTTATTCACGGTGGCCTGGGGAGACTTTGAATGCAGTAAATTGTTTCCTTCACATTTAATATGCTCATCCTAGCAGCAGAGGCAATTAACACTGGATAAGCACTATTTACATAATGGCAGACACACTCGTGATCACAACAAAGGCGTCTCGTCTGGCTTCCCATTCCCTCCTCTCTTCAACTGGTTCTTTGTCTTTGAGGCTGTCACACGGTTGCCGGTTGGAAAATGAGAGTAGAGGTCAGACGGTGGCACGTGGAGCTTTGACAGTGCAAATGATAAACTGGGAGAGTTTGAAAGGTCAGTCAGGACCCCTGCGGCTGGCCACTGATCTGCCTGTTAGCCATTAACTGGGAGACAGTTCAGGTGGGGTATCAGGAAAGGAAAGATAGAAGTAATGAGGTAAAGGAGGAAAAAGCTATGGTAAAAAGATGGAGGAAAGAATGGAAGGAGAAAAAACAAACCTCAACTACAAGGTGTCTCCAATTCTAGTCTACCTTCTGAAGAAAAAAGAAGCTGGCACCACAAAACAATTTATTTTTGCACCTAACGTGTGGGGTTGCAGGCACCTTGTGCCTGAGACTGCAGTTTTTAATACTTTCCCCTGAGGTAAATAGAGTAATTGGTGTCCCGCATCTGTCAAACACCACAAAAGGTTTGACAAGAGAGCTGAACGGTAAAATCAAGAGTACCTCATGGTATGATAGCAAGCAGGTTTGGTCAAAGCTGCCAATGTCAAAGTGAACAAAAGGACAGGATTACTGATGATAGCCCAAAGCTGCGAGGGCTGAACTCTGATTGAAGCTTTTTTTGCACCAAACTCATCTTCAAATCTTAATTCAAACACTGGAAATGTTTCAGAGAAAGCAAAGCTGGGGCATGTCTGGCAGGTAAATGGCTCGTGTTCTTTGATGAAATGTCAGGTTTATGGAGTCACAGGATTATAAGGCCTCTCTGGTGACCCAATGAGTAAATACAAAGTTATTGACTTCAGAGCACTCAGCAAAGCTCAACACCGCAGGGATCAAGCTAACATGCTGCAAATACTGCCAACTGTTTGATTTTACAAAGAGCAGTTTCAGAGGTCCTATGGAGTTTTGTAGAGTAATTACATTCAGCAACTAACAATCTACACTCCAGCAATTAAAAATCCTCAAATGTAATTCTTAGAAAGTCAAGACAACACAATTAATTCTGTATGTGAAGGGGAAGACAGCAAATAGACCAGAAGACAGCAGACTGACAAAAAACAGGCATCCCAAAGTGACCCATTTCAGCTGAAGGACACATCAGTAAATAAGATCAAAATGTCCAATGAAAAGCAGAGCTGTCCAATTAGGATGGCATTTACAATGAGACAGTGATGAAGTTGCTGATGATAATCTTATCCTTGTAAAGAGCAGCAGCACAATGCATGATTAAATGGAAGGACATTATCTTAGAAGAGTGATCACAAGTGTAATCAATCTACTTCAAGGCTCCC